TGATAAGTGTCATCACACATTTCGTTTTTAAAAACTCATGTTTTTTGAAGTCAAGGTTATAAACTAGCTTGAACGTATTTTATAACTTATGAAACAAAGTGTGGAAATTGGTCATTTCATTTTTTACATACAATTAGAAAGCATATGTAGAATAAATTCAACTTTGTCCTGATTATTTTCTAATGCTTTGTAGTATGAAGTATCAGGTAAAGTAACTTTATCAACACAGTATCTGTTTCAAAATAAATCTTGTATTTCTGGCCTTGAAGCAGAGTGACTAAGGGACCAGTCTTCCAAAAAATTTATCTCCCTAGGAAAGGATGCCTAATGCAATTTGGTCATATTTGAGGCCACAAGATTCAGTGCAAAAGGAAGTCTGCATTCTGAGTAGTCTGATTTCCTCTTTTGGGGCATAAATTAGTGTAGGTCTGCTTTCTGCTGCGCACATACCACATATAATCTTTATGAAAACCAAGATACATGGTACTGGAGAAATTTCCTTTGTCTATTATCAATTAGGTTAATTATTCATGTCTTTTATAAGACTTTAGCTGAAGTATGTTAACAAATAGTAAATTGAAATCTCTTGATTTTGACTGAATTTTGTGGAATAGGCTTTTAGTAAATTGTAAAAAAAAAAAAAAAATAAAAATTTTGGTGATGTTTCAGCTTGTGGCAGTCTTATGATCAATAAAGGAAGACAATGGTAAATGACTATAGGGTGCTTACAAAACAAAACTTGAAACTTGAAATTGTGCAGCATAAATAATGTTAGCAAATTGGTTGCTTCCAGAGGCATTTGGATTTTTTAACTTAAATTAAATATTGTTATCTCAATTGTATAATGTTTTTCTATATGTATTATTTGTTTAGGATCTGATAATTTTTGCAAATTATTTCTAACTTTGAATTACTATCTGTTTTTCTCAAAACACTGCTTTCTCTTTTCTTCCCAATCCGCTTTAATACCTAAAGTTGAAGGGAAGTTGCTTTTAAGCATTGTATATGTTATAGCCAGGTGGTGAGTGTAGTGACTGAGACATGGGGAATGCAGGTTCAAAAGTTATAGAGGAGGCAATCTTAAACATTGTAGATAAGTATTCTGACTGCTTGCTGAATAGGAGGAACCTCATCTATGTCTCTTTCAGAAATGTTTTGTGAGAGAGAGATAGTCTGTCTTAGCTGATTGAAGTTTAAGTTTCAGGCAGATTTATTACACATGCTTCTATGGAAAAACTAAGTAGGACCCTGTACAAACATACTTAAAAAAATAACACAATCATCCCATGTGTGGGATTCTTCATATAGTTTGTGAATTGCAACAAGCAGCTGCGCAGTGAGATGCCTGAAGTGGCTGATAGTTCTGTTACTCTACTCCAGAGTGACTGGGAACAGGAATGTTCCTTGAATTCTTAGGGTATTTTTGTTGTGAAAAAGTCCTGTCACTGAGTATGCTCTTCCCTTGGATTTAAAAAGGTCTTGATCTTTCTGATCTTGATCCTTCTTCATTTTTCCATGAATTGTGTTTCTCTTGAAGTATTCATTTATCTTTTTTCTCTACCTCATGAAGTATTGACAGCTGTGAAGTTTGAATATAGTTCTCCCTTTAAATTTGCTTGGCAGGTATTGTGTTCATGTCCTAAAATAGCTGATTAATATCAGATTGAATGTGCAGCACATCCATCTTTTGCATAATTAACTAAGATTGCACTCTTGGATCATTTTTGTTTCATCTGACACCTGCCCCTCCTTCCCCCTGAAAAAGGCAGGGGTAGGGAAGCCTGAAGAGGTGATGCGAATGCTGTAGCACAAGTAATATGGAGTCATTATGTAAAAAGAAATATGAATTCCCCTCAAGTCTGCTATAAAGAAAACAAGTCAAACCCTCAGCCTCCATGTTAACTTCTTGAGCCATGATTAGCAGCAATAAAAATTGAGTGTCCCAAAATGCATAAACCTTGCATTATGCATCCAAAGTCAGCTGTGTTTATTTAAACAGAAACAAGTTCGCTAAGCAGTAACAAAGCTTAGTACTTAGAGCATCGTGTTTTTTCTGAGAGCTGTATACAATTGCATGTTCTGTCCCACCTAAAGCAGTAGCATTTCAATCACAGGGGAAAGAGTGCTGAAGAAAGCGAAGGAGTCTGGCAGTTAGTTTGATCAGTCAGACATTCTGTTGAAATCTGGGCACCGTTTTTACTGCAGAGGTATTTCAGCCCCACAACTACTACTCCAAAATAGCTGCTTTGACTTGAGGAGCTCCGCTGTCCCCAGGTCCTGAGGATATTGCAGAATTGCACTCAGCTTTTGCAAGCAGAAACTGGATGTATGGGCTCTAGTCTCGTCTTTGCTATGTTGTGGTGAAATCCTGGGTAACTCCCAACTCCGTCCTTTGCAGCCCTACAATATTAGAATAAAACCACCAGCAACTGCCTCAGGATCCTTCATGAGAAATCTGGTGTAATTCAGATGCTGTTGTATATCAGAACTATTACATAATCCTGCTTCACAAAACTTAGCCTGCTAAAGTTGTCATTACAGACAGTAATCCCATTTTGGATTAAAGGAGATGTCTAAAGGAAAAGTGATTCTACAACTTTTCTAGTGTTCACTAAAATAGAGAAAAACAAAGTCAAAGGTAAGCTGTAATGAATTTAGGATATTTAGGAAGATGTATAGGTAGGGCTTAGGGCAAGAGGCATGTTCCCATTGATCCTTTCCTCTCAGGTACAAGAGCTGTGTTTCACTCCAGGTGAGGAAATTGCTCCACGGAGCCAGGAAGGCTTTGGGGTTACTTCTAGCCAAGAGCTGGTGTTCCCACAAGTGTAGCTTAAGGGCAGAGAAAGAGCCAGGTGGAGAAGGGTGGAGGTGAGAACATCCTTGAACACCATCTGGCAAGGAGGATTTTAGGTCTGGATAGAGCTTGTAAACTAAGCTCATGGTAACTGGAAAAAATACAATCTAGTCGAACAGGTGAAATCGGGACAGTGTGTAAAACCAAAACAGCCCCCATGGCATTCACAGCATCCATCCCAGCCCTCCCAAGCTGCAGTCTGTGGCTGTTGCCTCTTGCTATGGCACCTGTAAAAGACTTGGTTCCACTGATGCTGTTGGTGCCTTTCAGGTAGCTGAAGGATGCAGCAAAGCTTCCCATTAGCCACTCCTTTGTATTATTTTTGATAGCTTAAAAATAAGTTATCTTGATAAAGCAGAATTCAATTCATTCAAAACTCCAAATACACTGGGACACATATACTGTAATGTTTTCGATTGCAAATAGCTTTTTATATTCACATTATATTTGTTAATGCAAGCTTATTATTTGTTTATTTACTACTGAGGCCAGGCAGTAGGCATACAAAATCACTTCTAGAAATATTAACAGTATGGGTAGTAAAGGATAACAGCAGAAGAGTTTTCTCCCTATACCCTGTAAGGAATTATACTTAATCCAAGGAAAAATTCCCTCTCAGTGGTATATTTGCTCCTGTTGGTGAGTGTCTGCAGCAGGACAGTCATAGCAGAACAGCTCTTTCTTTTCCCATCAAGGTTCAGAGACAAACTACTGCTTCATCACCACGGGGTGTCACTGTAGATAGCGCAATAACCCACAAAACTCACATTAATGGACAATTTGAAAACAAAACCGAAACCCTCCTGCATGACGCAACCCTCTCACACCTCCCAGTGGCTGCTTTCTGTCGGCCTGGGTGTTTATTGCTGCCGAGGACTCGCATCCCAAAGAACACGGGAATATCACATCACCAATGGCCAAGAAAACCTCCCCCTGCCTTTCTCATCACATATTCAAACAGAACTGAATCATGCTCGTTTTAAGGCCAAAAGGTCTCTAGACCCACCCAGAGGACACTCCCAAATACAAACCATCTCCCACTGTGGATGCTGCCAGACCACCGATGCATGGAAAATGTTGTAATATTTAATAATTTAAAAATGCATCCCACCAAAAAAAAAACCTCCTGCCATACCTGTGGTGATGGTCTTTAAACAGAAGGATGGTGCAATAACTTGTTTTGCCTGCATCATGAAAGGCAATTGCTGAAAATACATGGAGAGAAAAACTTGTTTTGTAAGCTCTCAAATATTATATTTAGTGTCTGTGAGCCTTCAAAATCTAATTCAGTAGTTGGGACTTTCCTGGATGACCATAGAACTAAAATTAACACCTAACATTTCCAACCAAATAAAACATTTTTTTTTTTTCGTTGCTAGAGACCAAAATGTTATGTCATGAAGTCAGTCTCATAATTAAAGTGCCTCAGAAGTAATAAAGATGCACAGTATTCATTTTCCAAAAGTATTTTGTTTTGTTTAGTGCTTGCAGGCAAGACTCTGAATCGGCCTCAGTAACTCACAGCTGCCTGCCCCCAGAGCTCAGAGGACTTGTTTCGGCCAGCGATGGTGCTCTGCCTCTGCTTGCTGCACACAGAAGGCCACAAAGTTTCCGTCTAGCTGAAGATGTCGAGCTTCGTGTGGGCTCAGCTGGTGAAATTCAGTAGTGCAGGGGTATAGAAGACTGACCTAGATGATATTAATTGGTTCACCCTGGATTTATATTGTGTACTAGAAACAGACCATTCAAAGTTGTCTAATTACCCTTAAAAAGGACCAGGTAGCAGGTTTTCCTTTGTATACCTAAAATAGCAATATTAGCTGAGTGGTCTGAGAGTCTCTGATGCAAGGGTGGGCCTGAGGATGAAGAGTACTGCCACAGCCCTTCATGGTCATTAAGAAATAACCCTGTCACCATCTAAGGAGAGCAGTGGGAACCACCAGCACTGTGCAGTTTACACTTTTCTGCACAAAAACATAGTTAAAACTAAACTTTGGCAGCTGCCTTACAGAGGAATTTGGTTTTGTAGGATCCTTCTTAACAGACACCAGAGTTTCCTCTTTCCCTTTCAACTTCTGGTACCAAAATGAGAACGCTTTGGGTTCCCTTTTAATCCCATTCAGCTGAAAGCAGCTTCCTCAAACACACAGCCCACACCTCTCCTGCATGGCACCCTGCAAAAAGGCTGGCTGAAGGGAGGTAAACCTTGCCTCGTTAGCAGCAGGCCTTAACGAGGTAAAGGCCTACTGCAAAGGCCCTGAACCCTTCTGTGCCTCCTCCTCCCCGGCTGGTTCCTGTGCCCAGCATGGTGGTTCTCCTGGCTAGACTGCAGGTAAGGCTGGTGGCCCCACATGTGCAGCCCTCTCCGTGCCCTTTATTAATACAAAGACCTCAGAAGGCAATCAACAACCCCAGGTGAGCTGCGGCCCCTCCTCGCCTCAGGCCTGACATTTAATGCAGACATACATTCACCTGAGGTCCCTAATTCTTGGCTAGCCTTTGCCTGCCCGCCATTGGGTATGCATAAGATTACGTGACCCTATTATAATGAAAAATGTCTTCTGAGGCGTGTGGAAGACCAGAGAAGCAGTGAGGGAAGGCAGCAGCTTCACCTGAGTCTCCAGCAGCACTGAGCTGCTCTCAGCGGGCCTGTACCTTCCTTGCCTGGTGCTACGAGGGAAAGCATCCAGCTGCAAAATGCAAACCAGGCTCTTCCCCTGCTTTCACTTCTCACTGTATTTTATGCCTGTTGCCCTCCCAAGGGCTGTATGTGATGTGTAACCCCTCTCTGACTGGCACCCAGCTGTACTGGAGCATTCTGGTCCAGCTGTAGACCAGTTCTAAGAGGCAGCTCTTGCATTTCTCCAAAGGACCGTGGGTTTCTAAAGCCAAGTCCAAAAGGTGCCCAGACACCACAGGGAGATGATTCATGAGCTCAGCTGGCTGGATCAGCTTTGGGACCAATGCTCTGCCTCGCCCCCATCCCAGGAGCCACCACCTCCACACAGGACTGCCTGAACCCCACAGCCCTCAGCTGACGACAACCTGCTTGCTAAGGCCAGCTGGAGTGGTATGGCTTCCTCATGTTGTGCTGGGCTTGGTTTCTGCAGGGTTAGGGCAAGTGGCAGGGGCAGCCCAGCTATACTTGCTGCAGGGGTGGTGAGGAGGAGGGTGGCCAAAGGGACAAGGACAGTCTTTTCTGTGGCCCATGTATAATTGTTGCTTGCCATGACAGAGATACCTTTGAGGGCATCGGTTCCCAATCTCACTGAGAAACAGCAGGGTTTGGGGTCAGTGCTGGAACTGGCTAAAAAAGACACACGGGGAGCTGTGAGGGCACCTGCGGGCTCTGCTCCTGGGCTGCCCATGCCCCGCTCGGGGCCAGCATAAACACCCCTTGCTGGGGTGTACGGTGTGCAGACCATAGTGCAGGCTTGACCTGCTGGGCATGCCAGCATGGGTATTTTTAATCAGCTTTCCCCGAAGGTACCTCCTCTTTCCACAGCTCAGAGCCACCAGGGGAGATGCAGTGGGACGAGCTGGGGCAGCGAGAAGGGGGACACCGAGGGCGAGGTGGCACCTGGGGCTCCAGTGGCCAGGCACCTTGCAGCAGCTCTGCGAGCTCTCCCCAGGGGGACGGGGGGCTCTGCAGCAGCCTATGGGCTGCTCCGAGTCTTTCAGGCTGGATGCTGACCTTAGGAATGTAATCAGAGAGCTGATTATAAATAGTTTGTGCAGTTGTTGATGAGATTAAAATGTGCTGCGGCAGGCAGTTGGAGGCAGGGGGTTACTCCAGTGTGTGCCCAGGATGCTGCGTGCTCGTTAATCTCCGGGTGCACGTCAAGCCTGAAAAGGGGAAGTGGCTAAAAAAATGCTCAGAAAATGCTCCCAGGGAGGGGGGGAAGGAGGAAGCAGCCTGGCTTACAAAACAGGGGGTGCAGGACAAAAGGGGCCAGGGAGCAGGGAAAATTGAGGAGGAGGGAGGGTGGTCGCTGCAAGCCTTCAGGGTGGCGACCATCCTGCAGGTATGGGGTGGGCTGAGCTCAGAGCCGAGACACACAAACCTGCAAGGAAAAAGGAGCAAAACCATAAAAACAGGGGAGTGCACTAAATAACAGAAGTAAAAACCTCCAGGTGTGTCAGTGCTGGTTTGTGTCCCCCTGGCGGTGTGTAATGGGTCTTGGGAGAAAGGCAGGGAAAAGGCAGAGGGGAAGGAGAAGTGCAAGAGGTGGGCGATGGAGCAGGTCAGGGCACAGCAATAGCTGTGGCAGCATGCCGGACAGGCACAGCAGGGCTCTAGGAAGGGCTGACTGTGAGCTTGGGCAGGAGCAGAGGAAAGCTAATGCCTCCTGGGACAGCCCAAACCTTCCCACATTGCAGCCTCAGAGACCTCAGAAGTGAGGGACTCAAGCCAGGTAGGTCCAGAGAGAAAGGAAAAGGGATCAGGGAGATGGTGCTGGGCAGTGCAAGAGGCAGCAATCTGCCACGGGGTTTTCTGTGGTTACACTGAAGAGTTTTAAGGAGAAATTAGAAGGTAGCCAGGAGCTGCGCAAGATGCCTCACCACAGCATCTTCCAAGTGTGAGTAGCAGCTGGGAACAAAGCAGAGGAGCAGAGGTGACTTCGCTGGACAACAGGCACCAGGAAAGGCCTTGAAAGCCAAGAGAGGCATCCTGTGTCAGAAAACCATACTCAGAATGGTGAAACTGGGTGCCGAAGGGCCAGAGTGGTCACTGGACAGGCACAGAGAAAGCTCTAGGAGAAGGAAGACGAGGAATCATATTTTATCAACATTAAGCTTTTTGCTGACAAGAGGAGTCATCGGGGAGACTGCCTGTTTTATAGCATGGCAGGAGAATTACGTCTGGAGCAGACAGTGGGTTCATCAGTAGGGGATGGAGCCGAATTTGTGGTTGTGGGTGAAGGAATCCTGGAGATGAGATTGTGCAAGGACAGCGGGAGGAGATAAGTGGCTCATTTACCATGTAAAGCCTGAGGATTTGGGCGAAAACTGCTCATCCATGTAATATATAGATGCTGGAATTTTGCTGAGAGAATAATGAAAACAAAAATATGAAGGATTAAAATGAGCACTCTAAGAAATACCACAAAGCTCATATTTTCTCCCCCTTACTTCAGAACAAAATAGCAGGTTATTGGCCTTGTCCTGATGACTGAAATGCAGATGAGGTGTGCCTTACTGCTGACCCCTGAGCACACACAACAGCAGTGACAGCAGCAAATTTCACGGACACCCAGCTCTGAAGAAATTGGCTCAAATACTGCCACGGAGCCAGCGCAGCACTCTGCTTGGAGCTGTGCCTGGGGCAGGATCTCAGCGCCCCTGATGTGAATAGATAGGGATCAGGGTTACCAAGTTATAACACTGTGAGGATCAGGCTGGAAAACAACCCAGCACCTGAAGGGACCAATTTTTTTCTTTCCCAAGGCCTGAGCAGAGTGAGAAGTCGAATGCTCTCTCCTGACACGAGACATGGCAATAGAAATATTAAAAATAATGCTTCTATGAACAGTGAAACTTCAGTAGTCTAATTTCCTGTGGCTTTGTGCTTCCTGTTTATGTTCCTTTCATGCCACGTGTGGTGAGGGGTGAGCTCTGAGCAGAGCTTGCTTGGGGCTCTGCACGCTCCCTGTCTGGGCTGATGCCTGCATCCCCTCAGTGCAGGAGCTGCCCCCCGCCTGGTATAAGGCGAATCACTTATAATCAGGCCTGCAGCTGAATCAAGACAGTAAAGGAATAAAACTGTTGTGTCATCAAGCTTAAATTTGGAAATTAGACTCTAATGTGGACGTGAGTGCAGGCACTGTCGCGGAACAGCAACCTATCTGTGTGCAAGGGCGCTGCACCAGACGGGAGCAAAACAGGCACAGACCCCTGGAGCGCCAGGATGGGATCTGGAGAAGTGTAAAAGTGAAGAGGCAAGTTTCTGCTGTCCCAGGCCCATTGTTCTGGCTGTGTCTCAATCTATGCATGGCTGAAACGATAGCAGCGGAGTTCACCATTTACCTCCTTCCTGAAACAGAGGATCGTTTGTGTGGCCGCCCTGCCAAGCATTGCGGAGCACTCCAAACACCGATGGCAGACGTAAGCAGACTCAATCGCAGGTGCCGCCCATTTCCAGGCTGCTTTCACTTGAAGCCTTTGAGGTCTAGATGAAAGGCGAGCACGGCCAGAGCAGCACCGGCACAACGGGCCTGCTGACATCCCTCGGGGGTGTTAGCAGGAAAATGGAAAACCTGCAACTCAGAGCTAACGTGATTAGAGACCGACAGAGCTCCTCTGTGCTGCTGGTGAGGCAGGGAAAATATCCAAAAAAAGAGAGGAAAAGAGTTGGGTCAGGTTTGCAGAGGTGGGGAAAGAGTAGAGGGACGAAGATGCTCGCCTATTTCTGGTGTTGCTATGGTTCGTGCAGCTGTTTGCAATAAACACAGCAAGGGAGATGGTCCCAGGCTAAAAGGAGCCCAGTGATGATGGAAGCTCAGGAAGCCCTCCAAGTTCTGTGGCTTTTGTCCTCTGAGCCTTTCCTTCAAGCTAGCAAAACAAACAGCAGCCTTGCACATGAGCAGCAGCATCTGAGGGCTGGTGGGAAGCCAGAGAAGAAGGACAAGGGCACAGGGCTCACAGGGTGGTGGGGTGCCTTTCACCAGCACCACCAATAACACAAGGAAGAGGGGCAGCTCTGAGCAACCTGCCTTCTTTTGCCTTTGTCACGTCCTCAGTTAGTCATGAATAACACAACACAGTCTGTGACTTTGGGGGTAAAAAACACGTTACTTGGCCTTGGCCTTCTCTTTGGTTGGTGGCTGTGCTGGGAGATCAAGGGGCAGAAGAGCTACGGTGAAGCTAGTGAAGCTAGAGTGTGAGTGAAGGGGTGGGGGGACAGGCCAGGCAACGGAGCTCTTCTCAGAGCTACCCTCCCTGCCCATTCCCCTTCACATCTGAATCCGTGGGGCACAGCAGCCTGTGGCTTTGGCCCAGGGATGTGGGGAGCAGTGGCACAGCTGGACAGGGTGGGATGCTCCGTGCCACCACCATCCTGAGACGCCTGGGGACACCGGCCATGAACATGGGCTTTAAGGAGATGCTTTTGGAGCAGCTTGGAGCAGTGGTGATGTTGCTGCTGAGAAGGATGGGAGCTAAAAATCACCACAAACGGCTGTGGATTCCTGCTTCAGGGCCTGAGAGGGATGGGGTGCTGGCAGGGCAGCTGGAGAGCTTGGCTTCACAGACAGAACACCCCAGGTTGGGGAGAGAGCAGGGACAGGTGAATAAAAACCTGAAATACGGATCGGAAAGAGAAGAGGAAGCTTGCAGGAGCCTCACCAGCATAGCTGCTAATAGCTTTTGTGTAAATGTTATTTGCAAGTATTCCACAAACTATTTATGACTGTTTTATGTGCGCTAAGTGTTTGCTCGCCAAGAAATGACACATTACCCTTTCTTTGAAGCTGACTGGGAATTATTACCACCTGCTTATCAGGCTTTTACATATCTAGCCCAAGGTACAATGCTATAATGCTTTCCAGCAAAGAGAACTCTTGACTCCGCAGCCAGATCCGCTCCAAAAGCGAAATGGTGGTGTGGGAGCAGAAGAAATGCAAGAAAATTATACATAATTACTTTTCCTCCAGCTCTTTTATGCAGGGAACAGGTGACTCAGCATTCCCATAAAGCTACCTTAATGGGAGAGGAGGAGCTCTGTCTTGAACTGGCAGCTGTCCGCCCTTGCCTTTGCTTCTGATATCTGCCTACTAAAACTTACCTTCAGGGCCGGTTGTTGCTTATCAGCACAGTAACATGCATACTTGTGGAGTGCTCCTTTCTTCTTTCATTAAAAGGAGGATTTCCCACCCCACATGCAATTATTTAAAGCAAGGTGCAAATAGGCAAATAATAACCACAAGCATCTGAGCTTTTTTTTTTTTTTCCCCCCCAAAAATAATCCCACTAATTTATTCTACTAGTGATGTCTAGCTGGGTTCACAGGTCCAGCTGCTGTGCCATGTCTTATAGAGCTAAGGAAGCAAGCCTGCCCCTGTTTGCTGTCTCCTTGTTTTACGTGACTGAAGTAGCTGCTTTCTGGTTGCTGTTGTTTGTTTCTCTAAGGTACTGAAAACACACGGACAAATATAACGTGACACTGGAGCACCACTGCATAGAGCAATATTGCTATTTGCAGCACTGCACAAGAGCGGGGATCCTGAAAAAGCAGGGCACATTTGTGCCAGGCACTGTAAAACTGACCAAGACGAGACTGCTCAGCAGGTGAAGCACACCATGAGCCTGAGTTCTGCGCTGCACGGTGCTAATTAAATTAGCCCATTCAAAACAAAGCTCCCACTCATATTTGCTATTAATAGCCAACAGTTTTCCTCCTCTGTCCCCTCCCACAACCTCTCTCTCTTCCAGTGATAAAGCAACCCTACGTGGGGGGCTGAGAGCTCTCGCACACCAACAGGAGGAGTTCAGCACCTCGCCGGCTGGCTCACTGCCACCTTCCCCAGGATGCTTTCCCCGTAAGCCCACCCCGTCGGTGATGGCAAATTCTGGGAACAGGTGGTTTGAAGTTGGTGTTGGGTCTTGTTCATCCTCTGACACTGGTTTTCTGCTCGCCCCTTGTATCCCTCCTCCGAAGGAGTCTCTCCTTGGCTGTGCCGGCTTAGCAAACCTGAGAACAGGGCAACGGTCAGAGCGACAGAAATGACTTGGCAAAGGAGAAGTGCAGCATGATGGGCTTCAGGAGAGATGAGTCACCAGCGATCTGCACTCCAGAAACAGCTCACCAGAGCCAGCTGCTGCGTTTCAGAAGACGATCTTACTGGACTCTGCAGGCTAGCAACAAAGGTGCAGGAGGGGAGCTCAGCTTCAGCTATTTCAGCGCATGCAGGAGCCGATGCATCTGCTTGTGCCTGGGGAAGACGGACAGTCCTGGGATGTGGAGGCTCTCCAGAGGTCAGCCTTGCTGCTTTGGAGATGCACAGGCAGTCAGCAGGCCTTGCTACTCTCCCATTGATCATTAAGCACTGACTAGAAAAGACAAAATAGCCAAAGCTTCAAAGAGGGTTCTCACTTGGAAATGGCCCTGTAACTCTCAGTGACCATTTTTACTTAAGGTAGAAGAGCCTAAAATTAAATGTTTATAATTGGATCCTTTATTTATTTATTATTTATTTAAGGGTCACATTTGGCCATCACCCAGTCTGTGTTGCAGTGTGGGGACCGCACCAAGGAGGAAAGGCTCGAGCTGTATTTAAGCAGCCCCACAGACGTGTGGCCTCCGAGGCTGCTGCGGGCATGGAGCACTGCCTGGCTTGCCATCAGGAGGCAGCCTGAGCTGGGATGCTGCTCCATGTTGCTTCTGGCACCCTTTCTCCTTTAACACAGCCTGGGCTCCCACTTGTACCAGACAGAGGCCAGAAATGGGCTAAAAAGACTTGGAAGTCTTCTCTCTGTGCCGGTGGGGTAGGAGCTGGTGGGGCGACGGCCCATGCTGCTGCTCTGTGAGGCTGGTGAGGGAATAGGTCTGGTGAGCCCTTCTGTGATGCGTGCCCCAGGAAAGAGTTCCTTATACATGAAAATCCACTACAAACAGAAAGCGAAAAGAGAGAAAAAAAAAATCTCTTCCCCGTCAACAAAGAGAATTGGCCTGATTTTAATAACAAATAAGTTTTGAATCCATTAAATCAAAGCCTGTGTTTACACATGATGTGAAGCATAGCTCTTAATATCTCATCATCTTCTGGAAGAAAAGAATTTGTTCTGCTTTGTCAAACCAGCAGACAATGCATCACTTATCTTTTTATTCTACCTTGGTTTCACTGGGAAAAATGCCACAAAAGCTTCCACTTGGGTGAAATGCGCTACTACAGACGGGGTGAGCGGGACCAGTTTCAGGTAGGATCTACTGAAGCAGCCTGGCTGCAGTCCATGCTTTCTCTGCCAAGCTCCGCTTCAGCCCTGAAATGTCAAGATGCTGTACCTGTTTTTAAAGAACTGCTTTCCTCCCTAAAACTTGCTCTATGAGCCAAGAGACACGACTGAGTAAAAAAGAAAAAACTCCCTGTTTTCCCCCTTCCCCCCTGTTAAAGGAACAAAACTGGGCACAAGCTGGAACGTGAGCTTCTGTCTAAACACCAGGCAGCACTATGGTGCTGTGCAGGTGATGGAGCACGGGCACAGGTTGCCCAAACTTGTGGGGTCTCCCTCCTTGGAAATCTTCCAAAGCCACCTGGACGCGGCCCTGGGCAAGCAGCTCCGGGTGGCCCTGCCTGAGCAGAGGGGCTCCAGAGGGCCCTGCCAGCCTCAGCCATCCTGCAATCCTGTTAAACCTGTCAAAGGGCATTATTTTGGCTCTTTCAGACAGAATCCCCTAATGGCTAGATAAGGCAGCACCTCAGTGAGGGCACCTCAGTTACAGAAAGTGTGAGAGGCTTTGTGTTGCAGTGGAAAAGTTTTATTTTCACATTGGTCTTTTTTTTCCTTTCTCCTTTCTCTTACGCAGTATTGGCACGCTTTGAGAACTGCACACGCTGCTGGCTAGAGAAGACAGTGTGTTTACAGTGTTGATTAAAAATATCTTACTCAGAGCACTTTCTTTAGATAATTCAGACATTCCTGTTCTGAAGTCACCCTGAAACATACTTGCGCAATCCTAAAATAGCAAAAGATTTTTCCATCTTGGAATGGTCTTCTGTAATTATGACTGTAATTATTACCAATAAAAACAAAACAATGCTCCAATCATCTACTTTTTTAGCAATCAGGAGATGAGCACAGCTGAAAACTAGGAGAGCTGAGGAGCACTCTGTAATATAGACACCCTGCTAAGACTCTCGGGGCAGGTCTCACCAGCATAACCTAGCTGAAGACAAAGACGTCACATGGATGAGTTTGTACAGAAATGCCTTAAAAACCTCTCTCTGTGCTGTGAATCGTGCTGGGGTGGTGCTGCTGGCATACGGTACTGCTGCTGTCAGCGGGTTCCTGCTGTAGCTGCCTGGGGGCTGCTCACGCCATGTGTCCATCCCCTCAGATGGCAATGACAGAGCCCCACCAGGAACAGGCAGGGGACTACATCCCAGCTCGTGGAAACATCCTGAGCAAGCTGCATGCCACCCCACAGTCAGGGGAGCATGAAAAAAAAAAAAAATTAAAAAAAAATAAAAAATGAGGAAAGACCACAGAAAGGCTGAGTTAAGGAATCCAGGCAAAATCAAGGCAGGGAGGGTGAATGGAGAGACTTTCCTCCACCCATGTTCTTGTGTGCGCACATAACTTCAGGCATGTGAGGAATCCCTCTGGGCCCGGTAGGAACTGTTCATATCCTTACACTTAAGCCCACGCTGGAGTATGTGCTCAGGTGGCACTTCAACGAGTTAGTCTTTTTTCATGCAGTTGTTGGGCAACACAAGAAGAAAAGCAGATGTCTCTCCAGGTGCATGCTGAGCTGTGCGATGATTTCCGAAGTCTTCCTGATGGCCACTGCTGGGCCTGTCCCCCTTCTGATGCCAAGGCTGGGACTGCAATGAAATCAACCAGGGAGCACCCTGCCAGCTCCATCCTTCTGTCCCTGGTGAAACTTTATTTTCTGTTAATTTTAACACGGTCATAAACACTTGTAGAACACTGCAGAAACACCAAAGACCAGACAGTCCTTTTATTTGTGACAGTATAAACACCAAGTAAATAAATAAAAAAACACCCAATGAATAAAGCTGATCTCAGAGAATAAATGCATTACAATAAGTTATTAAACAGTTAAACAGCCAGCTTTTTTTTTTTTTTCATTAAACTTGGAGTGATTTTATGTGTTATTATAATATACAAATACTTTTAATTCTTAACTATAATCAGAAATCTGTTGGGCTTTCTTTTATTATAAGTAAGATGGCATTGCTATGCAGTATCTAAAAATATCTGTATTACAGATTACATCAGCATCAGAATGTTTTCCACAGGACAACTTAAAAGTGCTAAAGAAATTTCCCCATGCATCAAGACGAAAAATGGGTGTGGGCACTCAGGAAGGCATGGATGTGTTAAAGCAAGAATTATGGGAGACTTGCAACTGGTTTCTTCTCTTGCTAAGCACTCACCTGTACTGCAAATTACCAACATGGTTTCTGCTGCAGAGCTTTCCAACTTTAATATACCAGAAAAATATGAGTACATAAGCTTGGGACCCAACTCCATGAGAAAATTCAGCTGTTCACCTGCAGGGCTCGTGATAGAAAGTCACAGTGCCCATGTGACAATGGATCTGAAAAACTGAAGTGATGCTATAGCCAGCTCCTCTTAAAGGCTGGTTTACCTTCTGGAGCTTCAGGAATTCCCATTTCCAATTTTGTGTTGGTTTTGTTTTTGCTGCTTTCTCACAGAAATGAAGGCCAGGCCAGAACAGTTAATCTTTAGTGAATGAAAGGCAGGATGCTAGTGGAATCAGCTGATTCCCTAAGGAAGATGATTAAACAGTGTGAGCTGCAAACTTTGGCAATTCTGCAGAGGAAAAGATCTGGATTTTTGATGCTTCATGGTTAAATTTTCTGATTTTAAGGATGTCAGCTCTTACTGAAACAGCAAAGCTGTGAATGGTAAGTCTCTCTCTCTCTCTCTCTCTCTTTTTTTTTTTTCACATGGAATGAGTCACTGTTGACAGCTATGTTTAAAAACCAGAAGCTGTCCATTCCCATTACCTTTCAACATCACCACAGAATCACAACAGAAGATTTAACTTCTAGTACATCCTGTAAATTTCTCATCGCAGAAGACGTGGAGAGAAATGTCTTTGTTAATGCCTTGAATGAGCCCAATCTAGATCAGCTGAGGGCAGTGGGAAGAAATGGAAAGTGCGGGCTGCAAATTCTACTAAATGGCTTGGTTATTGTTTTCTCCAGTAAGCCACTTGTGTTTTCTGTGACTGAACACAATTAGTGTCATTCACAGCGTTGCCACTTTGTGAATAAGTAGTCCTCCGAGTGTGAGAGTGTGAGACTAAATTATTAATACGATTGTAAGCATTTTTCCCACAGTATATGCTGGTACCTAAACTACAGACTTTCATAGCTCACTCATTCTGCAAACGAATTAGAAGTATATTACTGGAAATGACAACAGGCACAACACTGCAAAAAGCAGCCTGGGCTGCTGTTCCCTTTGTGAAGAGCGAGCTGTGTGAGCGGCACCGGGCAACTCCCATCTCCCGAGCAATTTGCAGGCATTCACAATTAGGCCTTTTGTAACCCTCAGAACAAGGTGGTTGCAACAAAACCATGTCTTATTAAGTTATTCCTTCCACACTGGCGTGTGCCACAGGTGTAAACCTGTGAAGCCTTTTGCAAGTCGGCAGGGAAACGTGGCAGATAAGCAAGCCCTCCCTCTGGTCCCTAAGACACAGCCCGTGTTTTCAAGAGAGCATTTTGTCAGCTGCTATACATTTGCAGAACCCTGATTTGCCAACAGGTCTGCCAAGACACGTAGGGCTACTGCTGCTTGCGTATGGTGTTGATACACAACTGTATGACCGCAACAACGACTCTGAAGTACATGAGTTAGCTCGGAGACCCATCCTGCTGTGACTGACACACGTCTATGACAGCACGTAGCATGGCACGGACGTACCGAGGCACCCACAGAATAGCTTCCAGCCTCTAGCTATCTGCTGCTTAGGGGACAGCTTGATGCAGAAGCCATGTCCTTACATTTAAAGCACCTCTTTTTTTCTTTCTTTCTTTTTTTTTTTTTTTAATTATTTTCTTCTCTGAGTGCGCTCGGGTGCTTTTTTTGATTCCCTTTGAACTTTTGGCACCTTAAAGCAGGAAGTGCCACCGTTTAATTACCTGCTGTGTGAGGAACCACCTCCTCATGTTTGCTTTAAATCTGCCACCTGCTAGTTTCACTTGATGCTCTCTAGTTCTTATATTAGAAAAGAAAGCAAATAATCCATCCCCATTCTTCTCAATTCATGACTGTGTATTTTCTCTCGCATGACTTTTTTGCATTGGCTCATTTCTACAGCCTAAAAAGTCCTGGTCTGTTGAGTCAGTCTGGGTCATTCTGTATTGTTAATTACCTTTGCTGTTCTCTGATTGTTTGCCAGTTTCTGCCATGCCTGCTGGGGGGTGGAAGGGCTCCTGGTCTCATTCCATCCTAATGTTTCCCAGCTGCTCTGCAGCAGTTTTGGGTCACCAACCTGACCTGTCTCAGAGAGTTGGTACTACCATCTTAATCCTTCCATCTTCCTATGGAGACCTTAAGTCTTATAAAATATTTATTTTAGCTGCTAGAGCTAGCTGATCTGACTGCTTCTTTTGGAGCGTATAGCCCCCTTCCCTTCAGACACAGCCCAGCCTGACCCTCCTACACAAGTGTGTCTTGTTATTACAGCATCCCCCTGATCTCCTCTCCAAGCACACCCATTCTGTCGATGTGCTGATTTAAAGCTAGACACCCTGGGCCCCCTTCTCTCTCCTGAGTTTGCTTATATGGCTCTATCTTTTCTGACAGTTTTCCACCACTCTCTCTTTGGCTCTTGCCAACTTTCATCCTGTCCTTTACCCAAGGACACCGAATCCTTGTGATTTCCCTGCCAGGGGATGCACGCTCCCAAGTGCTCTTCAGTACCTGTCTACTTTCCATCTCTTTGGTCTAAAACTCCCCTGTGACCTTCTCAATTTGAAGGCCAGCCATGCAGTCCCATGAGGGCTTCATGGAAATCAGTCTGCCTGGGCTCTTTTCTCCTGGAAGTACCTGAAAGTGCCATGTGCCTCCAACCCTTCCTTACAGCTCCTTCTCATCCCTCCTGGGACCTGTCCCTTTCCCATTGGTGCTGACCTCCCCATCCTGCTGTATTTCTGCAGGAGACGCAGAAAAACCATCCTGCCTAGCACTCTTAACCTTGCTCCCTAAACCTCTCTCTTGCCCTTTCCTGTCACATATGTACAAGTGGTCCACGGCCTCCTGTGAGGCCCTGGTGGTTTTCAGGAGGTGATGGATCCCTGACAGCCTAAATGCTGCTATGATTGCCTTCTCCTCGGTGTGAAGAGATCACACCCTGGCGAGAAGGGCTCATCAGCCTACAAGGGCAGGCACCTCAGGCTCCTGTGTGTGGCCAGGGCTGCGTGTCCTTGGGGCACCTATGTGCCCAGGGAACACCTCCATCTCCTTTTGCCACCCCACTGGAGCAGGGTGCGAGCAAACGGAGGTAGTCCTGGTGATGCATCCACACGCGTGTGCACCACTTGTTCACCTGGGTAAGTGTGCAGAGGACACGTGTAGGTATACGTGTATGAGGGAAATGTTTGCGTACTGTAATTCTGTGGGACCAGATCTCCTATCTCCCAGTGTCCCTAACCCACGGGGCCTTCCCTCCATCACTGGGGAGGCAGCCAGCGATGCCAGCCCCCTCCCCTGGGCCGCTGTGACACCCTGCAGCCCCTCAGCCTGCCCCCAGCCACCACCACCGGGGGCGGCTCTGCAAAGCTCCGGCCGCCCCCCGGGGGCCCGCTGCGGGGCTGTGGGAGCCGAGGGCCGCCCTTGCTGGCAGCGGGGCCGCGCCGGGCCCGGTGTCGGGGCCGTGCCGAGCTTGTGGGGCCGAGCCCGGCCCCGGGCCCGGCGCTGAGCCCTGCCCCGAGCCCTGCCCCCGCCGCCTGCGCGGCCGCCCCGGCCCGGCCCGGCCCGGCGGGGAGGGAGGGAGGGAGGGAAGGAGGCGGGGGGATTTCCAAGCGCCGGCTGCTCGCCGCTTCCTCTCCTTGTTTTGCTTTCGATCTGGCCCTGCTCGGCGCCCGGGCGGAGGAGGAGGAGGAGGAGGAGGAGGAGGGAGGCACTTTTAGTTTTGCTCCCGCGATTATTCAGCGCCTGTTTGCATTTCCAGCCCGCGTCCCCTGGCAACCGGCGGTAACCTTGCGGGAGCCGCGCCGCGAAGGGACGGGGACGGCGACGGCGACGGGGCCGGGGCCGGGGCCGCTGCCCGCACAGCGCCGGTACCGCCGCGCTCCCGGATCGCTGCGGGGCTGGGGGGCAGGGGGGCAGCGGGGCCGCTGCGGGGGGAAGAGGAGGAGGAGGAAGGAGGAGGACGAAGGGGAGGGGGGGAGGCCGCGGCGGCAGGGCACGGGCCGCGCTGCCGTGGGGTGTGCGTGTGCTTATTTTATTTGGGGGGGTGCATTAAACCCAGGCACTTGTTGCGGGGCTCGGGGGCCGCGCTGCGGGCCCGCAGCGGGCGGGCGGGGGCGCTGGCGCTGCCCCGGCCCCGGCCCCGGCCCCTCCCGGCGGGCCCGCGCGTTACACAAGCGGCGGCCGCGCCTCCGCCTCCCCCCGCCCCGCGCCGCGCCGGGCGGCGCCTCCGCCCCTGCGGCCTCCGGCAGCGCGCAGCCACCGGCACCCGGCCCGCGCTGGGCCCCGCCGCCACCACGGGCTCGGGGCGGCTCCGTCCCCGGCAGGGGGGTGGTGGTGGTGAAGGGGGGGGGGGTGGTGCGGGCTGAGCTGGGCAGAGGGGGGTGTCCGCAGCGCTGTGAGCCGCTCCGCAGGGCTCCTGTGTTTGCACTCATGGCTCCCGTGAGGCAGGCAGCCTGCTCCTGGTCATCGGGTGGCTGTCAGGTGCCGCTCAGCCTCCTGGAGGCAGGAGCAGCGTGGGCTGGGACCTCCCTTTCCCGAGATGAAGCACCCCGTCTGTATAGGTGCGCACCCCGCGCGGATTTGCATGGGATGCCCTTTGCAGGGTGCCCTTGTTAGCACCATG